TGTCTCTGTCCTCATGGAACTCATGAACTGGCAGAAGGCGATGTCTGACCCAAGTTGCTAGAAGTAAGCTATATTTTGGTGAGGATCCAGAGTGCTGAAGGAACATGTCGTATTTCTTTTTTAAAAATTAATTTCTACTCACTTTGACCTTAAGGTCTACTCAGTAATTAAGCTTGAAACCCCAATCACTATTTCATCTTCCCAGTCAGACTTCCCCTCATCCAAAACACTCATTTTTGTTTTGTTTTGTTTTGTTTTGTTTTGTTTTGTTTTGTTTTAAAGAAGGGTCACATTATTCCCAGCACTCAGGTGAATCTCTGAGTTTGAGGCCAGCCTGGTCTTGAGTTAGTTCCATGACATTCAGGGCTACACAGAGAAATACTGTCTGGGGGTGCTGAGGGTTTCTCATGTATCTCTGATCGGCCTAGAATTTGATGTGTAGACCAGGTTGGCCTCAGACAGACAGAGATCTGCCTGCCTCTTCCTCCCAAGTGCTGGGATTAAAGTCATGCACCACCACACCGAGTAAAGCCCTAAAATGTATCTATATCTTGGGCTGGCAAGACAGCTCAGCAGGTAAAAGGGGGTTACCACCGAGCCTGATGACCTGAATTCAATCCCCAGGACCCACATAGTAGAAAGATAAAGGCTACTGCAAATGGTCCTCTGACTACATGTATTCATGTGTATACCCATATACATACATACACATGGAGAAAAAATAAAATTTACCCACATCTTCACTGATATCATCCAGCTTCATTAATTCACTTAATATTTATTGAGCAAGAAAAAAAAAACAGTGATCAAGACACACCACAAAAACTCCAACTCTAAGTTGCAGAAAAGCAAGATAAAATACTAAGAAAATAGGATGTAAGCACAGAGACTTGCACCAGCAGCTAGTTAGGTTTCTCTGTAACTACACTACGTGAGGGGATATGAGGTAAAATGGTCTGGCACCGCAAACCCAGCACTGAAGAAGGTGAAGTATGAGTTTAGGGCTTGATAGTAAGACCCTCTGTCAACAACCCTAATAAAAACAGTCTGTCCTCTCTTTCCGGGGCTCTTCCAACAGCTTGTCTTCCCTACCTTTTTTTTTTTTTTTTTTTTTTTTTTTTTTTTTTTTTTTTTTTTTTTTCAGGGTTTCTCCCTATAGCGAAGCCTTTCCCGGAACTCGCTCTTCAGACCAGGCTGGCCTCGAACTCACAAAGATCCACCTGCCTCTGCCTCCGGAGTGCTGGGATTAAAGGCGTGCGCCACCACCGCCCGGCATTTCTCTAGCTCTTTTTACACCCTTCAATTTTCTCTGAACAGCCAAGGGGTTTTTTGTTTTGTTTTGTTTTTTGTTGTTGTTGTTTTTTAACAGAACCGAGGAAAGGTCTTTGCATGCGCTAGGCAAGCACTCGACCACTGAGCTGTAGTCTCAGCTCTCGGGCTGGACTCGATCTTGTGATCCTCTTGCCTTAGCCCGGAGTGGCTGGAATTACAGGCCTGAGTCATACCTGTTGTCAAGTTACTACAATCAGAATTAGACAATAAAATATAGCTCTGCCTTGAAAGCGCTTAGATTTTAGTAAGCAGAAACAACTGAACACACACCATGAACATACAGTTTAGCCAGAAAACAGCCATCGAAGGAAAAATCGTGGGAGGGGGCTGGGGCAGGTGCAACCAGGCTGCACTATTTCATCGCTCACGAGACCGGTTCTAGCCAATTCTCCAGTCTGACCTTACCATACCCTTTCCCCGTATTTAAATCTTTTGCTTTCAATTCTCCCTCCTCGCTGGCGCTTTCTTTACAGAGGTCGTCACTCCCGGACCCACTTTTCTCCCCTTCTCATCTATCAATGCTTCGGCTATAGGGCTAGTCTTTTTCAGTTTTGTGTGGGCGCGTATTTGTTTCGGTGAGCACATCACTGAGCCCGTGGTGAAGTTGTCAGAGAACAAGTAGAGGATGTCGTTTCTCTCCAGGGGGGCGTCCCAGGATCGAACCTGGGTTGTTGAGGCTTGGTGAACCCCCGCTGAGTCTAACCATTCCCGCTGGTCCCATTTTACACGTATCGCTTGTAACGTCATATGCGCTCCTCGAGGATGATGGAGGTGAGGCCCCACCTCGCTCACCGTGAACTTGGCACCTACGACGAACCTCCGGGACAAGCGTCTACCCTGGCTGGACCAGTTCAACGCGGAGAGCCCGGCCCGGAAGAGCCGTGTGGCGCACAGGAAACCGGAAGTCCCGTGCCTCCACTCGCGGGGGGGGCGTGGCCTCTCGGCGGGCTCGTCTCTTCGTCTGGCTGGACCGCGCGTGCGCGGGGTCGGCGCCCTGGTCTGGAACATGGCGGCGCGGCCGTTGTGGGCGGTGCAGCGGCTGCAGCGCCTCCTGGCCTCCGGGACGGTGTCGCAGAGCCGGTAAGAGGGGCGGCGGGGTCCGGCGGGCCGTGGCGGGGGCGCGCCGATGGGCCGCTGTGGAAGGAAGGCCAGGGGCTAGCTCGGCGCCGGCGAGGACCGGCCGCAGGCCCCGTGACCCGGGCGTCTACGCCGCGTCCCTTGGAAGGGAGGCTGAGGCCCAGAGGCGCGCTTTTCCCGGGTCACGGGAGATGAGTGGGAGCCGAGGCCACGTCCTGGGAGGCGGGACCCCGGGCGTGAGTGAACCGGAGACGGAGCGCCTTCCTAAGCCCCTGCTCACCTGTTCCCGTCCGGGCATGTGTTAAGGGTTCTTAGCCAGACTCCATGTGGTCTTCGGGCAGGCAGTCTCTCCAGCTTCTCGCGAGCATCGTTTTACCCGTGTGTAAAAGACGAGCATTGGACCGGGCCCCCAGACGGCCTTTCCACCAGTCTTAGGGGTACTGCGAAATTAGGGGTGCCGTCAGAGGACTGCAGGACTCTGGGTAGGCTCTTCTGATTGCTTCGTGTGTAATAACTGAGGAATCTAGGATGTAGGATAACTTGCTAACTTTCCCAAACAAATCTTAAAGGGACTTATTACCCCGTCTAGAAACCAGTCTCCGTGTTTTTTGTGTTAGTGAACACGGTTCATTATTCGCAGGGGATACTCCTGAGAAAGAATTCTTTTCAAAAGGCGGTCCATGAATAGTTGGAGAACTCTGACTTGTAAATTAGCTGCGGGGAAATCCAGGAAATTTGCATGGCCATTTGTCATTCTTTTTTTCCATCTTGAAGCACCTGACCCGATACACCCGCCCTACCAGAGCTGTGAGGCGCTGAATTCAATGCTCTGGGCGGGGCGGTTTGTTTTCAGACCTTTGGCAGTTTGTTGGGTGAGGTAAGGAAATAACCATAGAATAGTTTCTTCTGAAGAAGTAATTGAGCACTGACCTCTTCCCTTCAAACTGGCCGTCTTGACCAGCTTTCTGTTTATCCAGGATAAACGTGATTTTCTAGGAGGCTCAGTCTTTGTCCATGTATAATTTGCCCCAGACATATCTATGATAACTATATTTTCTGAACCAAATATTTAGAACCATGTATAATTGGATATCGAACCATAATAAAATTCAGGGCCAGCCTGAAAAATCTGGGAAATAAAAGTTCTCTTGCCTCTGTCTCCACACCAGCTAGCTCTTCGCTCTGCCTAGAGCACTCTTTTCTTAAAGCAAACTCCTCTACCCCCCCACCCTCTTAGCCTTTGTTTAGATTTCTGTCATCTCAGTGGCCACTACCCAATATATATATCCCTTTATATAAATAATAAACTGCTTTAAAGAGCTCTTGGACCCATAGATTGATTGACCTGGTCGTTTTTCACTTGAAATAATTCCCAGGATCTAAGAGTGATTATGAATCACTTATTAAAATAATGAAAACTTCCTTAAAATAGAGGTCAGAGCAGCCATAGTTCAAGATCTGCTCCAAACTAGGCCCTACTCTACATTTCTATGTAAACTGAACTAAATAAATATCAAATATTGGAGTGATACCAAGAGCAGGGGCTTACTTTCCATAGTAACCAAGGGTGGATTTTTGTAAAAAATAAAATAAAATAAATAAAATTTATTGCAAGGTCACCTGGCTCCTCTTTCCCTGGTCAGTTGCTGGGGAAATTTATGGGGCGAGAGAGGCTGTTGTTTCTCATTAGGTGTGAGGATGAGAAAGAGCTAGGGTTCTTTTGTGCCAGGGTGGATGTCACCGTGTCTCTTCACAAGTCATGTGCTTCTTTCTAGGGGCTGATTACGTTTTGTGCTTAGGATTTTGAGCTTGTGATATCAAAATGTCATTGGCAAGCAAACTGGCTTGTGAGACTGTCTTTTTTTTTTTTTTTTTTTTTGGTTTTTTTTTGAGACAGGGTTTCTCTGTGTAGTTTTGGTGCCTATCCTGGATCTCGCTCTGTAGGCCAAGCTGGCCTTGAACTCACAGAGATCTGCCTGGCTCTGCCTCCCCAGTGCTGGGATTAAAGGCATGTGCCACCAGCACTCAGCACTCGGCTTTTTCTTTTTTGGGGGGGGGGGGGGGGGACTGTCCATTCTTAAAAAGCCTGTTTGAAACTGCCCTTGAATGGATCCTGTAAACAATACCTGAAAGACAACTTCAAATACTTTCTAAGTTAGGGAATTGATGTCCTGTTGTTGGGACCTTAACCATTTCATTGGCTGCAAAATTTTAGATTACATAACTAGTTGAACAAAAACTAATTGACTAAAACAAGGTTCTATTTTAGTGACCTGTGTAGTCCAGAGACGATATCAGTCAGAATTTCTCGTTCACTGCACAGATTTTCTCTCTGAAAGCCTTACAGCATGTGGCCACGAAGTCTTGGAATTCTAAGCCCGAGTTCCTTTTACTCATTTTCCCCTTCTGTAAGATGAAGAGTTAGACCCGAATTGTGTAACTGTGGCTTCCTAGTGTTAAATATCCTAACTCAACAGAACACCTGCTCTGTGTATGCATTTCTTTTGTTTGTTTGTTTTGGAGGACACTGTTTTGTTGTTCTTTTGAGGCAGGCTTTTACTATGCCACCAGAAAGATCCACCCACATCAGCCTCCTAGTACCCAGAGATTGCAGGTAGTCACGTGCCACTTTGCCCAGCTTAATGTTACGGTCTTGAACAAGTTATTAAACCTCAATCCTCTCATCTTGAGTTTTTCATTAGTAGAGTAGGGTATATTGTGGGGATCAGAGACAGTCCTCAGTGAGTGAAGTCCTGAGAGTGAATGCTTGTGTTGACATGTGCAAGCCATGTCAAAACTCCCAAGCCTCAGACCCCTGGAGGAATGGCAAAACCTTCCTTCTGGAGTGAGATTTGGAGGCATGGCAAAGCCTTCCTTGGGGGAGAGTGCAAGTATTAACAGTGTGTGCAGAGATTACCTAAACCTGTCCCCTTGATCTAGCTGTACCCCAGAAGCCCTGCCTCTTGATGTATGTAATAACACCACCTTCCTAGAGATTGAACAACTCTATGTAATAAGCATGCTGAGCTTCCAGGATGCTGTGTTTTTTCCAGCAGTGAGCCTGAACCACCTGATCCCACTGTTCTGTCTGTTTTATGTTCATTCCCTCACTGCCCCAACAGGTCCATTCCTGGAGCTAGGCTGGGCATGACAGATTATAATAGCATTTATTTTGTATTAGCATTATTCAATCTAGCAGAAAAGAAATACAAATCAGCTGACAAGTGGATTAAAAAAAAGTGTGGCATAACTACACAATGATCTATTACTTAGCAATAAAAAGTAACTAATTACTGGCAAATGCAGTTTCAAAGGTGCCTCACCTGTCCCCAATGAGAAATTCTCAACACTCAGAGATGAGGAAAACCTTCTTGAGTGCACAGCTGCAGACTCTAGCTATTGCTTGAAGAGGTCCAGCCCTGATCTGAAATATTTCATCTTTTATGTAAGGTTAGACATTATCATAATCTTCTGACCATCTTTGGGGGTCTTTTTAAAAATCCCTGTGCCAAAGGAGATTTCCCAGAGCTAAAATGGGAAATTTCAGCTGTACAGAAGCTGAAATTTGCAAGTCTCTAGTTAAGACAGTTTTATCTTCAGCAAACGTCTGTCTAATCAGATGTTGGTAGTGGTCACTTCTTGGGGAGCGGAGCAGATGGGGGGGGCAGCAGTTTAGTTTAGCTCCCCTGTTTCAGAGCAGGGGAGAGTTTCTTATGCCTGTGTAACCTAACACTTCCTATTTGTCAGTAAATTCATTCTGTTCCTGTTCTTTTTAATTAAACTTGTTGGTATTTTTTCTTATCGCAATTACATGAATGAACCTGAAACACACTCTAAGTGAAAAACTGCTTCTAAGTGACCGTCTCTTATGATTCTGTTGACACTAGGCATCCATAAAAGGCATGTCTGTAGAAAACAAAATGTCATCAGGCTTACCTGGGGCAAACGATTTAAGAGGAAATGGTAAATGATGTGATATGTACAAGCCTTTTTATGGTGACAAAGATGTTCTGAAATTGTGATTTCAGAATTGGTTGACTCTGGACATGGTAAAAATATTTGAATTGCACATTTTAAATGGTAAATTGTACGGCATGACAACTGCCTATCGACAGAGCTTTATTTTAAGTGTATGGGAGTTTTGCCTGCATTATGTCTGCACCACCCATGTGCCTGCTGCCCACAGAAGCCAGAAGGCATTAGGTCTCCATGAGCTGGAGTTACAGGGGCTTGTGAGTTGCTAAACAGGTGCTTGGAATTGAATCCAGGTCTCCTGGGAGAGCAGTCAATGCTCTTAACTGTTGAGCCGTTTTTCTCACCTTAAAGCTATTACTTTTAAAGAGCACTTTAAAATCTAGTCACGTTTCAGGTATTGGGCAATAAAAACATGAGGCAGATGGAGCAGCAAAGTGCTTAGGTAGGACCTCGTGGCGTCTGTCACCAAGACTGGAAACTATGGAGAGTTTCAGTGTGGGGTGCTTTGGGCTCCAGCTGTTGTGATTTGCCTGTTTACGGTGGTGTTTTTTCATTATGTGCCACTGCCCTGCTCCCACCCTCTTAGGGGATGGCTCCACCCATTCAGCACTGCCACCCCAAGAACGGCTGGGGAAGACTGCAGTTCTGAGGACCCTCCTGATGTACTCGGTCCCTCCCTTGCTGAACAAGCCTTAAGGCTAAAAGCTGTTAAACTGGAAAAAGAAGTCCAAGATTTAACAGTGAGTAGTAGATTTTATATTATTTGTTATTATCTCTTCTTGGGTTTAATGTTCAAGCAAAGTTTTTTGTGTGTGTTTGTTTTGTTTTGTTTTTTAATGAACTTTCCTCTAAA